TTTCCTAAGAACTTTTAAAAGCACCCAGAGTTRCTCAGTACCACTGTTTACTTTTATTTTTTTCTCCTCATCAGCAACCGAGAGTGAGAAAATCAGCCTCAAAGTTATGACTGACAGGAAAAGTTTGTTTTTTTTTTAAATTTTTCATGCTTTCTACAAGAGCTGACAGTTGCATTAGAGTGCAGGCATCCCTTGTTGTGTAGGATAAATGACTCATGGGTGGAGCACCTGCCTGGCCACAAACTAAAAATTCCATTCACGCTTTGATTCTCTTGTTTATGTTGAGCAAAGATATTTCAGTACCCAAAGAGGTTGTTCAGAAGCTGTTCCAGAGCAAGTTGTTGGGCTGAATGTGTAACGATTTCTCAGCTTTCAAGAAGTTTGTGCACTGGCAGAATATTTCTCTTGAGCAAAAGTTTTTCAGCGAGCTCCAGGTGCAAATTTTGCAAATATTAAGCAAAAACAGAGGGGGTTTTGCATGGGAAAACTTCCTTCTGTTACTAAAAATGTGATTTTTTGCAAAGAATGTTATCACCAAATGGTTGAGTTTGAAATTCATCGAATAGTTGAGTTTGAAATTCATCAAATTTTAAATTCATCAAATAGTTGAGTTTGAAATTCATCAAATTTGAAATTCATCAAATAGTTGAGTTTGAAATTCACCAAATAGTCAAATTTAAAATTCACCAAATAGTTGAGTTTGAATTACAGCACAGAAATATCCCCTTTGTTGAAGACAAAGACCTCCAAGTATTCTGTAGAAAATTTGGTTTAAGGTAACAAACCTTCAGGCACAGTTTGAAAACCAGCAATCATTTTTTTGTGGGTTTGTAAAATTCAGTTTATTTTTACTCTGCATCACTGAGTGGGGTGGATAATCCAACAGGATGGTGGAAAACATTGGGAATGAGATGTAAATTTGGGAAAATGCCAAGAGAAGGATGGGCTGGAGGCACTTCTGCCATGTGGAAGACAGGAGAGTGGAAATCCTGGGATTGTATATTCAGRTATAATCACAGATATGGACTCAACTCACCCTATCCCTCCTCATCCTCTGACTTCTTAAAGGGTATTTTTCACTTTAGAAAGTTTCCTGGAAAGGAGCCCTTGTTTAGTGAAAGTTTAAATTTGTGCCATTTCAACTCTGTCCCGTTTTTCCCGTGAGCATGATCCATGCAAGCTCCAAAAGCAAAAAAAACTGCTGCTCATCATTCAGCAAAATCCTCCTCCAAACACAGAGTCAGGCCCAGAAATACAGAATATTGAGAAAACTCTAATTAATTTCACTTAGTTATCAATTCTTATTATTCAGTAAGGTGAAATTTTTTTGTTTGCATCCTCGCAGCGAGGTTAGAGTTGCTTTGAAATACAGATTTCAGCCCTCCAAACTCGAGCTGCCTGCGGGCTATGAAATTAGATAAACCCTTTGTATGGGTGGAGTTCACTGTAAGTAACAGCACTTGCTGTGGTAAACCATTTTGTTCATCATCTCTTTTTGCTGAAGTGAGTCCTCGGTGTGGTTTGGGTGCACCACTTGGGTAACTGCTGAAACTGCTGTGGTTTCAGAATGGGACCTATTTTGCTTTTTTCTGAACTTCTTTCCCCCCTGAAACTATTAGCAGAAAAAAATAAAATGAGGGTTACGACTGTTTGCCTGCCTCACCTCGAAACAATGAGCAGAGTCGTGTAAAAAATACAATAAAATACAAAAAAAATGCATTTTCCAGCACATGGCAGATGAATGCAATCTCAGTTACCAATATATTTTGCAATATTGCAGTTTTACCAACGTTCTTCAGTAGAGCTGGTAACTTTTTCATGTGGTTTGGCTGCTTTTGCTTTGCGTTGTAGAAATCCTGGCCCTGATTCTTGATACACTGGGCTGCAAAAATCTTGGTGAAATTAATTAAATTAATACACTTATTATAGTAATTAAGTGAACACTTATTGCARTTTTTGCTGTATGTTAGCGAGGGTGTCAGAAGGATAATTCTGGTGTTGTTATTACTAATTTGTGGCTAATAAATGAGTAAATTTGAATTTTGGTCTAACTGAACCAAACCAACTGCTGCCAGGCCTCAAAACCAGGTTTGCAGAGTGGTGGGATAAAGCAAACGATAAGTGATGTATAAAGGGCACTGAAAGAGAGATTTGGACTGGATGGTCCTTGTGGATCTCTTCCAGCTGAGGAAATTCTGGGATTTTAGGGCTCGTTGAGGAATCTTGGGAGTGCTGGGGTTTGTGTATTCTGCAGTGCTGCTCTTAAAATTGTTCTGCAAAAGCTAAACCAAACTGCATAAGGGTTTCGTCTCACATTATTTCCAAAATTAGAAAAATTATCACTCTATTCTATCCTTTAACATCTAAAAACCTGAAGAAAATGGCACTGGGGGCGTAAAATGAAAACTTTCAATACCATTAGCAGTAACTCTGGTTACATGGTGGCATTTCCTTTTCACAAAGCGATTCTTTGTGATCTTTTGTGAAGATGAAGCACGAGAAACCCCGATGCTCTGTGCAGATTCAAAACCACCCTGGGTTTTGTGCAAAAAAACCTTAAACAGGCCACCCAGAAAAAAAAAACCAAAAAAAACCAAAACCAACCAGGCTTGCAGAACAAATAACGTTGCAAACATTTGTGTTAACAGTCACCAATTCCACAAAGCGGTTTYGTTAGCAGAAAGTTGAACCTGAGAAAAGAGCAGCTCAAAATGGGTCGGTTTTGTCTCCATTTATCCAAAATGGTTTGGGSTGATATTGGGTGAAGGATGAGAGGRAATTTCCTCRYTGGGARCTGGMAGKAGAGRAAGGAGAAATGAKGTAGAGAGCTGGAGTGTTGCCTTGGCCAGAAATTGGAAATTCAGCTCGTTGAATTCTCTTTGTAATTCTCCAAGGTTTGGATGGAACTTGGAGTGACCTGACCTCRTGGAAGRTGTCCCTGCCCAAAGCACGGGGTTAAAACTGGATGAGCTTTGAGTTCCTTTCCAACCCAAACCAATCTGGGATTCTGTGACTCTAATTTCAACAATTCTGTGACTCTAATTTCAAACAAATCCAAAGAATTTGCTCTTTTATGGGGAGAACTACATCCAGCCTAATCCATTCTCCTTTTTCCTGCTGGAAAACTTGCAGGGCTGTGATCAGATTCCCCTTGAACATTCTTAGGATGAACAAATCCACTTCTCTCTCCTGCTGCACGTGCCTTGTTTTCCCTGTTTCTGTCTGTTTGGGGATTTCTTCGCTTCTCATTTTCCTCGTAGCTTTGAGCCTGCCACGATTCCTGCACTGAGGAGAATTTGTGTGATTTCCTTGGCTCCCTGTAAACTGAATTCCCTTATTTCCCTGTAAAACTGAATTTCTTCAGCTCCCTGT